AGGTCGGGGCATAATCCTGTGTGTAGTGAGGGGGGCCAATGTGTCCATGGTGGATGACAGTGAACTGTTGTATACAGAAGTGGCCAGGTTGGGGCAGGACAGGGCTGAGATTTATCATAGAGACAATCTGTTGCTGAAAAAAGAAGAGAAGGGTTAGGATAGTGAAGGTTTCTATGGGTAACTGTTTGGCAGTTGGAAGACAAGAAGAAGGAAGCCAAGGGGATAGTGAAGCTAATAAGGAAGTGATCCGAGAGAGGAAAAGGAAAGTTGGTGAGGTTGCAAGCAGGGGCGGACTGACAACTCATGGGGCCCCCGGGCAATAGGGGATCATGAGGCCCCTGTGTCCTTGCCCAAACTCAAAAAAGCCTATGAAAAAAGTACCAGGGGCGTCTCATGGGGCCTCCTACTGACCCTGGGCCCTCGGGCAGTGCCTGAGTTTCCAAATGGTCAGTCCGCCCCTGGTTGCAAGGAGTGCATAGGTAGGAGAATACAAGATTGAGGCAGTCACCATTAAAATGAGTAGAAGCATGTGTACATTGTTTTAGGTCAAAAGAAGTGGTTAGGGTCAGAAGTTTAGAGGTAGCAGGAGTGTTAAGATAAACAGGGATGTTGAAGTCACCGAGAATGATATATATTATCTATATGTAATTATTGTTAATAATATCTTATTGTCTCTATGTAGTGATGCTCTTTCAGTACATTGGGTGCTGAAGAAGCCATATTTTGGCGAAACGTTGGCAACTGGAAGTCTACAGCTACAATTTGTATCTTTGCTTCATCCAGATGGAATGGATATTTACACATCTGATTCATTTAGCTGGCTATGAAACATGAGACCCGTACATTGCCTCAGGCTATTAGGGAGAAAACATTTAATTTTTTTATTCTTATGCTTTGAATTTTATCATGATATGTTTTTAACATATACAAATAAATGTAATATATGAATATACACTCACTGGACACTTTAATAGGTACATCTGTTCAATTGATTGGTAATACAAATTGCTAATCAGCCAATCACATGGCAGCAACTCAATGCATTTAGACATCTAGATGTGGCGAAGACGGCTTGATGAAGTTCAAGCTGAGCATTAGAATGGGGAAGAAAGGGAATTTATGTGACTTTGAATGTGGCATGGTTGTTGGCGCCAGATGGGCTGGTCTGAGTATTTAAAACACTGCTGATCTACTGGGATTTTTATGTACTGCCATCTCTAGGGTTTACAGAGAATGGCCCAAAAAGAGAAAATATCCAGTGAGCAGCAGTTGTGTGGACGAAAATGCCCTGTTGAGGTCAGAGGAGAATGGGCAGACTGGTTTGAGATGATAGAAAGGCAACAGTAACTCAAGTAACCACTCATTACAACCAAGGTATGCAGAATACCATCTCTGAATGCACAACACATTGAACCTTGAAGCAGATGTGCTACAGCAGCAGAAGACCACACCGGGTGTCAATGTACCCATCTTCTGATGACTACTTCCAGCAGGATAATGCACCATGTCACAAAGCTCAAATCATCTCAAACTGGTTTCTTGAACATGACAATGAGTTCACTGCACTCCAATGAGCTCCACAGTCACCAGAACTCAATCCAATAGAGTATCTTTGGGATGTGGTGGAATGGGGGTTTCACTTCATGGATGTGCAGCCGACAAATCTGCAACAACTGCATGATGCTATCATGTTACTATGGATCAAAATCTCTGAGGAATGTTTCCAACACCATGTTAAGTCTATGTCACGAAGAGTTCTGAAAGCAAAAACCAAACCGATACTAGCAAGGTGGACCTAATAAAGTGGCCAGTGAGTGTGGATCTATGAAGACACTGTTTTCTTTGACTATAGAAGTAAAGAAAGGAGTGTCTGAACAAAATTGGATGAAAGAGTTCAAGGCAATTTTAATTATTGATAAGTTATATAAAAACAGCCAATGCATTTTGGGGACAACACTACTCTTCCTTCTTCATCAGGGCTCAACACCAGATAAAACTTGGATGGACTCAGAGAAACCAATGAGTTCACAGATCTTTATTAGAACCAGTATTGAACTCTCCTCTCCAACCTGACAGCAGTTGCTGAGGGAATGGTGTTGCCACCGAAACATGTTGGCTGTTTTAATATGACTTTTTTTTTAATCAACAATTAAAATTGATTTGGACTCTTTTATCCGACTTTCTCTGGGGCTTCTTTCTGTAGTTAACCTTGGGTGCCCATCGATGGAAGCCTTGCTCTGTAGTAGCCACCTCATTAGAGCTTTTGCACTTGTTTTGAAATTTTCCTTCATCTGAGTATACTTGCAAGTCTAAAAATTCCCACCGCCTCTTTGAGTATGTTGTTCTGTTTCTATTGTTCACTGTTTTCTCTGTGTGGATCCCTGATGACATGGAGTCGTATTGCCTCCAAAACGCATTGGCTGTTTTTATATAACATTTTTTTGTTTACAAACTATTTTTATTGATGATTAAAAAAAAATGATACATGTGACCCAAAGGGTCATAAACATACAAACCGTTACGAAAGAGAATAAGAAGCTTAAAAAAAAAAACCCACAACTGATTTTGTAGCAACCAGTGATTTTGTCAGCAGGTCCCAGGCAATGCTTTATGGCTGAGACCTGCTGATTGGTTGTGTCCAGTGACAGCACAGAGTCCTGTGCAGGGGCGGACTGACCATTTGGAAACTCGGGCACTGCCCGAGGGCCCGGGGTCAGTAGGGGGCCCCATGAGATGCCCATGGTACCTTTTTCATAGGCTTTTTTTAGTTTGGGCAAGGACACAGGGACCCGATGATCCCCTATTGCCCGGGGGCCCCATGAGTTGTCAGTCCGCCCCTGGTCCTGTGTTTACAAACAACACAGGGCTCTGTGCACAGAGCAACGATCTGTCTGTTTCTTCTCCCTGCAAAGCAGGGACACAGTTTACCCTTTGATTTCTCCTAGATTTTAACCCTTTCCCAGCCAGTGTCATTAGTACAGTGATATTGTACAGTATTATATCTGATCACTGTTTTAGTGTCACTAGTGATGTCAGTGCCACTTAGTCAATTAGTGTACCTTGCAGCCAGTGTCAGCTAGCACCAGATTGCCCACCACTATAAGTCGCTGATCGCCACCATTACCAGTATAGCATCATAGCTGCGTAGGTTCCAGTATATATACCATACTTCGTAGTACCCTTCACACAAAACATTCAATATACATACATTGTTTTTTATTTTTCTTGTAGCAGAATACATTTTGGCCTAAATTTATGAAGAAATTAGATTTTTTAAATTTTGTATCAGATATGTTTTATAACTGAAAGTGGGAAATATTCTTTTTTTCCAAAAGTTTATATAATAAAAAAAATACAAAAACCTAGTTGTGATTGTATATCACCAATAGAAAGTTCTATTTGTGTGACAAAAATGCTGTACATTTTTTTTTTATCAACAATTGAAATTATCACGGGCTCTTTCATCTGGTTGTCATCTGCCACTCCTTTCTGTATTTTTATAGCCACAAAGTCTTACTATTGAATATTGTAATGGGTAACATTTTGTTTTTTCCTTGATGCAGCTTTGCACACTAACCACAATGTATTATTGAGGATTTTGATATTACCTCCATCTTGTCATTCATAAAGGTGTCAATTGTTTCTTAATAGCACAATACCTTCAAAAGCCACCACTCATGTAAAAACCAAATACAATAAATCCCATAGCAGCCATAACAATGTTTTACAAGTAATTAAACGTGTTCATTTCTAAAAGTGTATCTCAGTGTTAAGTTAGCTGACAGCACGACCTGATTTAGAGGAAAGTTCTCCAATTCTAATTAACAAGAACAATGCCGTTTGTAATGGGATTGTACTTTGGAATAGTCCAACATTTTAACATCCATCTCATGTAATTGTGTCCAGAATACATAAACTGGAGATGTCTAAAGCTGGCCATACACGTGGCAATTTGTGCTCAATTTCAACCACTTTCAATAGACAGGGAATATATCATTTAAAGTGGTTGCTTAATACCAAGCCAATTAAAAAAAAACTGACAGATTCAGTATGGGTTTTGAAGAAAGCATTGAAATCAGAAAAAACCTTGTGGTCGATCAAAACTACCATATTATATATTTGATTACCTTGTGATTAAAATCAAATGAAAAATAAGACCGCTTAATTAAATCGCCACATGTCTGGCCAAAACATTTAATTTTAATTAATTACCGCCATCTATGAGGAATCACAAATACTATCATAAGTAGTGTTGGGCTTGATGTTCGAGTCGAATGACAATGACGTCACAAGGGTCTGGGTTGAATTTACCAGGTGGCCCAGCCCCTTAAATATTAAAGAACTGTCGGACGGCGGGAGCCAGTGTTGAGAGAAGAGCCATTTTTTTTTCTTCTTTCGAGTTGGCGGTGCGACGGGCATCATGTTTGATGTTGGTTCCTTTTTGGGGGACTTTTTTATTTTTGTTTTTAATAAAGGACTTGTCAAAAGCTGTCTACTGTCATTTTTTTTGTGAATGAGTAGCAGTACCAGGGGCGGACTGACCATTTGGAAACTCGGGCACTGCCCAAGGGCCCGGGGTCAGTAGGGGGCCCCATGAGATGCCCCTGGTACATTTTTCATAGGCTTTTTTGAGTTTGGGCAAGGACACGGGGGCCCCATGATCCCCTATTGCCCGGGGGCCCCATGAGTTGTCAGTCCGCCCCTGAATATATATATATGACAGCCCTATATCAGTACCTGTAATAAAAGGTTGAAACTTTGCCTTTTGCCTGGTTTGAAGTTGTAATCCAAGTATCTGGTAACTTTGTATTTAGCCTACAGCTTGGGTCACTGGCAACATGGGGTGTATATATATGTAAACTGCTGTGTAAATTGACGGCACTATATAAGTACCTGAAATAAATAAATATATAAATGAAAAGTAATGGATTGTAGAGCTCCACCAAATTTGGGGCTGAAGATGATATTCAAAATAATCTCACCATGGTCCACATACACAGGTTAGTAGCTGACAGTGGTACCTTTTTCATAGGCTTTTTTGAGTTTGGGCAAGGACACAGGGGCCCCATGATCCCCTATTGCCCAGGGGCCCCATGAGTTGTCTGTCTGCCCCTGAGAAGTACCATGTACCCCATACTGATTCATATGGGGGGGGGGCGAGATCTTTTTTTCTGTTAAAGGGGGCTTCCATATTCCAGAAAGCCCTCTGCCTGCAGACCCCCACAACCATGGGAACAAGATTCTTTGGGGGGGACCCCCTTGCCCCAAAGCCCCCCAATGTTGAAGGCATGTGGCCTGGTATGGTTCATGACCCCCCATTTGCTTGCCCCCCCTTTCCTGACCTGCTGGGCTGCATGCTCGGATAAGGGTTTAGTATGGATTTTGGGGGGAAACCCCATGCCTTTTTTTTCATATTGGTGTGGGAGTTCCCCTCACAAACCATACCAGACCTGAAGGGCTTGGTATGGATAGGGAGGGGACCCCACACCATTTATAAAAAAAAATATTTAATTGCTGGCAATTCTTTTTACATTCAGCTGTCAGGGGATTCCTGCTGACAGCTGAACCCTTAAAGCATGATTTCACTACAAAAATACCGCATGACATAATAAAATAACTCATGCGGCATTTTAGTAGGGTTTTTTTTGTTCAAATGCTGTGCGGTATATTACCGCTTACTTGGATGCTGTAAGATACCAGTTAGCGAATTGTCCCGGTTCAAATTTTGTGGTTGAACTTCCATTAGGTTTACATGTTTGACCGTGAATTGAACAGAGAGGTGTTCGGTTGATCACTAATCATAAGTAATCACCATAAACCAAGCAATCTAACGCATAGTCCAGCTCTTAATAAGTGTCTCTGTGTCAAAGAAAACCCAATAGTGCTGATGTCTTCTATTAGAAAATTCTTCTTTCTTCACTTAATACCCAAATGATCAAGTAAACTTGCATAAAGGGGGGCTCCTCTCACTCCACAGCATATCCGATTCACAATGGCATCAAAATAGTGTAGTGTGAAACTTTATCACCTATGGAGGAAAGTGCAGGGGGGACAGGGAGGGTGTAGGGTGTTAGTTCTCCTTTTAATTTTTTTGGGGAAAAATGTAACTAATTGGACAGTGAAACTGTATCACCTATGAAGGTAAGTGCAGCAGGGATCGGGATTGTGGGGGTGGGGGGTATCGATGTAGGATATAGGGTATTAGTTCATCTTTTTATTTTTTTCTGAAAAAAGGTACACTTACACTTTAAGACCCCAATTCTGCTTTAACCTCCTTAGCGGTATTCCCGAGTGTAGCTCGGGGTTAAATTTCTATACCAAGAGCGGTAACCCCGAGCTACACTCGGGCTTACCATGCGGCGTTGCTCATGGAGTCCCTGCAGCACTTACCTTGTCCTTCGCTCCCGTGATGTGTCCCCCCTGCAGCGTCCCCGGCCATCTCCTCAGGCCGATGCCGGCATCCGGCTTCTGTGTTCCGGCCCCTGTGACGTCGGGACGTACGGGCGCCGGGACCGGCGGAAATTTGAAATTTTTAAAAAATGTCATTTTTGCTGTCATTGCTGTTTCAATGCATTTCACATATATTTTGTCCCTACTGCTTTGTCCTGTGCCCTGCCTGCATTTTGACTGTTCTTTCTGCCTGGAAACTTAGAAAAGTCCATGGCGTCCAAAAAGCGTCCCTTTACGTCAAAAGCGGTTTTAGAACAGCGATAGTAAATCAGAACCACTTGCAGAATTGAGTGATAATGATTCGTGGGGGAAATTCGTCATCAGACACTGAAAACGATTTTGCGACTGAGCTCAGCGATGTGCGAATTTGCCTCTGTATTTCAAATTTCAGTGTTTTTGGTTTGATTATATTATTGAATTAAATTTATTATTATTATATTATTATTTTTTATGATTATTTATTAAATTATAATTTATGATTTTGTGATTCAAGTTTTATCCTATTTGGGTTGTTTACTAAACTCTTGTTCGGACAGATTTCAGTGAGTTATTCCTAAAAATTACAGCCTACAATAAAAAACTACATATTTCCATGCAAAAAAATGGTACCGCTTTCAGCACAAAAAATCGGAAAGAATCATACCGCCGAGGAGGTTAATGATGTATTAGTGAGCTTTATGTAGAGTCTTTTATATCTGCCTGGAGATCAGCTTTAAGGGATAGTCCAAAGCTTTCATGTGCTGAAACTTAAAAAGAAGAAAAACGGAAAAAATTAAATAAATCTGCATTTGTTTTCCTTTCAGTCCAGCCGTCTAAATGAACATATAGAAACAAGCAATAATGTAAGCGGTATTATGGGTTTTTTGTCAGAGTGAACACTCCAGCCCATTGTAACGAGTGGCATTGTAATTTATCTAACAATGTGTTCCTGGCATGAAATTAGCACGTTGCTTGTTACAACGCAGGGACACTTTTCAGCTCTGAAATTGGATTTCTCTTTAACATTTTCTACATTAATAAAGGCCGCCATTTACTCTAATGCTCACAGAAAACAGCGGGGCTTTGTCTGGGCTGAATGTGTGTTTTGGGGAGAGTTTACCATGGCAATACGTGTCAGCCTGGCCGCTGGTGACATCACCCAGAGACAGCCAAACAAAGGCCGCGATAAAGCTTACATTGTCCTCCAAGGAGGAAAGGCAATCCCACATACTCCCGAAAGACAAGAAGACAAAACAAACATGGTGGGAAGATTATGATCTGCAAGATGCAATCTTTTCTCATTATTCTTGCACAGGACTATTTTCTTAAAAGCAGATCTGCAAATGTTCTCCATGACTAAGGTTATAGTAGGAAAGGAACTCAGGCAAATTAGGTGAGCTACATCTGAGAACAGGTTCATTTCCCAAAGGAGATATACTTCTGATAATGTGCTGATTCGCAATTGTTAATCACCGCGAGCTACTAACCTGTGTATGTGGACCATGGTGAGATTATTTCGAATATCATCTTCAGCCCCAAATTTGGTGGAGCTCTACAATCCATTATTTTTCATTTATTTATTTATTTATTTCAGGTACTTATATAGTGCCGTCAATTTACACAGCACTTTACATATATTGCGCAACGGATCAAATTCAAAATCCTAACACTGACGTACAAAGCCGTCCACCATACTGCCCCAAACTACTTCACCGACCTAATATCCAAATACCACCCAGCACGCACACTCCGCTCCTCACAAGATCTCCTTCTCTCTAGTTCCCTGGTCTCCTCCTCCCATGCGCACCTCCAGGACTTCTCCAGGGTGTCACCCATCCTCTGGAACTCCCTGCCCCAACCCATCAGATTATCACCTACTCTCCTCTCCTTTAGGCGCACCCTGAAAACCCATCTCTTCAGGGAAGCCTACCCTACCCCCTGCTAACTTGACCGACCTCCTCCACCCTTCCTACCACTCCATCCCCCACAGCTATCTCCTCCTGTACCACTATCCCCTCCCTCCTAGATTGTAAGCTCCAAAGAGCAGGGCCCTCAATCCCCTCATGTTTTGCATTGTATTGGTATTGTTCTGTCACATGTTCTGTCCCCCTTTGTAATGTACAGCGCTGAGCGGACTATTGGCGCTTTATAAATACTGTATAATAATAATAATATATATATACACACCACGTGCTAGTGACCCAAGCTGTAGACTAAATGCAAAGTTACCAGATACTTGGATTACAACTTCAAACCAGGCAAAAGGCAAAGTTTCAACCTTTTATTACAGGTACTTATATAGGGCTGTCAGGGGCGGACTGACAACTCATGGGGCCCCCGGGCAATAGGGGATCATGGGGCCCCTGTGTCCTTGCCCAAACTCAAAAAAGCCTATGAAAAAAGTACCAGGGGCATCTCATGGGGCCCCCTACTGACCCCGAGCCCTTGGGCAGTGCCCGAGTTTCCAAATGGTCAGTCCGCCCCTGGTACTGCTACTCATTCGCAAAAAAAAAAAAAAGTGTAGTGTAAAAAATGACAGTAGACAGCCTTTGACAAGTCCTTTATTAAAAACAAAAATAAAAAAGTCCCCCAAAAAGGAATCAACGTCAAACATGATGGCCGTCGCACCGCCAACCCGAAAGAAGAAAAAAAAAAATGGCTCTGTTCTCAACGCTGGCTCCCGCCGTCCGACAGTTCTTTGATATCTAAGGGGCTGGGCCACCTGGTAAATTCAACCCAGACCCTTGTGACGTCATTGTCATTCGACTCGAACATCAAGCCCAACAGGGGCGGACTGACAACTCATGGGGCCCCCGGGCAATAGGGGATCATGGGGCCCCTGTGTCCTTGCCCAAACTCAAAAAAGCCTATGAAAAAGGTACCAGGGGCATCTCATGGGGCCTCCTACTGACCCCGGGCCCTCGGGCAGTGCACGAGTTTCCAAATGGTCAGTCCGCCCCTGTATATATTGTACATTCACATCAGTCCCTAACCCTCAAGGGGTGTACAATCTAAGGTCCCTAACTTACATTCATATGTACACATAGTAGGGACAATTTAGACAGAATCCAATTAACCTACCAGAAAGAACAAATCGGCGCTGGGAGGGGGCCACACGTGTAAAAATCTAAATATGGTTAGTGACAAAATGCAGATAAAGCAGAGGAAATAAAAGTATATAGTAAAATACAATGATAATGAGACTAAAAAATTAATACCGATAAGGCGAAAAAGTGACAAACAAGACATAAAAGTCCATAGTCCAGGGGTCCTAGGTAGAGGATGATGGGTGAAGGCAGCTCCCCATAGAGTGAAGCAGTACTCTGCAGAAGATAAATCGGACAGAAGAAGGGGGGCGCCAATCTCGGTGTAGAGGGCTAATAATTTGTTGGTAACAAATGGTGTAAAAACTACTCACAAACGTAAGAAGTAATAGGCATAGTAAAAGAATTCCTTTGGTAAGCCATCAGTCTGGCAGTGATGTGTAAATTGGTCCTGGTCATACAGGATGAGCAGAGATGGAGCTGTCAGCTGTCAGCAGTACAGAGAGCAGGGGCGGACTGACCATTTGGAAACTTGGGCACTGCCCGAGGGCCCGGGGACAGTAGGGGGCCCCATGAGATGTCCCTGGTACCTTTTTCATAGGCTTTTTTGAGTTTGGGCAAGGACACAGGGGTCCCATGATCCCCTATTGCCCGGGGGCCCCATGAGTTGTCAGTCCGCCCCTTGCAGAGAGTTTTGAAAATGGCTCTGAAACAAGCGTGGACTGCGAGGAAGTCAGGACCCCGGCAGGCAAGCAATGGCAACGCAGGAACAAGGTCAGGTGACGCATTTTGAAGCACTTGTCTGAAGAAGAGGCAAGTGCTTCGAAACACGTCACCTGCCCTTGTTCCTGCGTTGACATTGCTCGCCTGCCGGGGTCCTGACTTCCTCGCAGTCCACGCTATTATATAATTAATATCATATTAATTTAATTAGTCCGAAGAATGTTGCATAACCTGCCAGTAGGAAAGGGCAGGGGCAGACCATGCAACATTCTTCAGACTAATTAAATTAATATTTGAATCTCACTCAGGATGACAGCCCCAGACCTTTCAACTTTGAAAACTAAGTGAGACACAGCAACTCCTATAACTCCGAAAATTCCCTTTAGTTTTAATGCATCCACCCAAAACTGAAACAATTCCATCAGCCAGGTAAATTCCCTCCTGCCTGACTTTGCAAAATGCCTCCTTTATTTGCTGCACTTGAAAACTATTAATTGACTCAAGAGCTTTCAATGGTAACGGGAAAATGTTTGGTTAGCATTTATTCGGAATAATTATAACACTCCAATCCACTTACTGTCACTTGTGGAGAAATTAGGAGATATATAAATATCACCTTAATGTACCAGCTTTGGATTTCAGATGTCAGGCTGGTTAATTTGCTGATTCCTCCAGGGGTGGAACACAGACTGGTAATGCATAGGCCCGTGGGAAACAAAAACCCTTTCATTCTCTGTGCTTGTACGAGACTTGTAAATAAATTACATGGCGGTATGGAGTCATTACCAGAGGGGAGGTAATGCATGGTGTATGTACCTTGCTCTTGCACCTAATTTAATTCAACTGCTTTCAAAATGGAATGAGATGTTTCAGCTACGGCTCCCTTTGTTGCTGACATTAAAGAATACTTGACATTTGAAACTTTTGAAAGCAAACTTTCTACCTGAAAAGAGACACCACAAAATTCTTGCCCTTAGCCACAAAACCATCATCTGTGCCCAGGGGTGGACTGACCATTTGGAAACTCGGGCACTGCCCGAGGGCCTGGGGTCAGTAGGGGGCCCCATGAGATGCCCCTGGTACCTTTTTCATAGGCTTTTTTGAGTTTGGGCAAGGACACAGGGGCCCCATTATCCCCTATTGCCCAGGGGCCCCATGAGTTGTCAGTCCGCCCCTGTGCCCCTATCTGATTATGGTTGAAAGTTGCTGCTGAAGGGTTGACTTCTTTGACCATGGGACTGAGTTCTTCCCTTTAGAGTTAAGCCCCAGCCATGAGAGTTTAGCCCCCACCATGAGATACCCCCCACTGTCCTATTGTATTCTGACAGTGGGGACTACCCCGCTGCCAGATTTCACTGATCAGTGCTGATCGAATCAACATTGCCTTTTGACAGAAGTCCATTAATATCTGTCAAGCTGGAACAGCCCCAGATGGATAGAAAATATATCCAGTTCTGGCTGAACCAACTGGATTTCAATCCATCTATGGCCAACTTCAGAGTAGACAAGCCATATCAGAGAAGTGCACCGAATGGGGCTTTTATGTCTTACAAAGGTTCTAGCTTGTTTTGCTCGTTCCTTGAATTGAATTCGAGTTTGAACTAGCTGACAGGTTAACTTTAAAATCTCCACCAAGATTTAAAGATAAATTGGGCAACAACATTGGCCTGTCAACACTGTAGGCTTTGCATAAAGCAGACTAATAAAAGCTAAAGCTGCCCATATTCTACTAGAAGTTGTTCTAAAATTTATGTTTTAGGAGCATTTGTTCCATTTTTTAATCATTAGTAGGGTCAAATTGACGCTCATTTTCGACAACAGTGATGATCCAGAGGAAGGCAAAAAACCCAACAAAGCATGATCCAATTTGCTCTTGCAGGGGAAAAAATTCCTTCCTGATCCCCCAAGAGGCAATCGGATATTCCCTGGATCAACTTTACCTATAAATGTTAGAAACCAGTTATATTCTGTGTATCCAAGAAAGAATCCAGGACTTTTTTAAAGCAATCCACTGAGCTGGCCAGAACCAACTCTTGAGGGAGTCTATTCCAGCTCTTACTGTGAAGAAACCTTTCTATACTTGGAGATTAAATCTCTTTTCCTCCAGACGTAAAGAGAGCGCCCCCTTGTCCTCTGTGATGACCTCAGGGTGAATAGCTCTACACCGAGTTCACTATATGGACCACTGATGTATTTATAGATGGAGATTATATCCCCCCCCTTATGTATTATACATGGAGATCATATCCCCCCCTTATGTATTATACATGGAGATCATATCCCCCCTTATGTATTATACATGGAGATCATATCCCCCTTATGTATTATACATGGAGATCATATCCCCCTTATGTATTATACATGGAGATCATATCCCCCCTTATGTATTATACATGGAGATCATATCCCCCTTATGTATTATACATGGAGATCATATCCCCCCTTATGTATTATACATGGAGATCATATCCCCCCTTATGTATTATACATGGAGATCATATCCCCCTTATGTATTATACATGGTGATCATATACCCCCCTTATGTATTATACATGGAGATCATATCCCCCCTTATGTATTATACATGGAGATCATATCCTCCCTTATGTATTATACATGGAGATCATATCCCCCCTTATGTGTTATACATGGTGATCATATCCCCCCTTATGTATTATACATGGTGATCATATCCCCCCTTATGTGTTATACATGGAGATCATATCCCCCCTTATGTATTATACATGGAGATCATATCCCCCCTTATGTATTATAGATGGAGATCATATCCCCCCTTATGTATTATACATGGAGATCATATCCCCCTTATGTATTATACATGGAGATCATATTCCCCCTTATGTATTATACATGGAGATCATATCCCCCCTTATGTATTATACATGGAGATCATATCCCCCTTATGTAGTATACATGGAGATCATATTCCCCCTAATGTATTATACATGGAGATCATATCCCCCCTTATGTATTATACATGGTGATCATATCCCCCCTTATGTATTATACATGGAGATCATATCCCCCCCTTATGTATTATACATGGAGATCATATCCCCCCTTATGTATTATACATGGTGATCATATCCCCCCTTATGTATTAAACATGGAGATCATATCCCCCTTATGTATTATACATGGAGATCATATCCCCCCTTATGTATTATACATGGAGATCATATCCCCCCCCTTATGTATTATACATGGAGATCATATCCCCCCTTATGTATTATACATGGTGATCATATCCCCCTTATGTATTATACATGGAGATCATATCCCCCCCTTATGTATTATACATGGAGATCATATCCCCCCTTATGTATTATACATGGAGATCATATCCCCCCTTATGTATTATACATGGAGATCATATCCCCCTTATGTATTATACATGGAGATCATATCCCCCCTTATGTATTATACATGGAGATCATATCCCCCCTTATGTATTATACATGGAGATCATATCCCCCTTATGTATTATACATGGCGATCATATCCCCCATATGTATTATACGTGGAGATCATATCCCCCCTTATGTATTATACATGGAGATCATATCCCCCCTTATGTATTATACATGGAGATCATATCCCCCCCTTATGTATTATACATGGAGATCATATCCCCCCTTATGTATTATACATGGTGATCATATCCCCCCTTATGTATTATACATGGAGATCATATCCCCCCCTTATGTATTATACATGGAGATCATATCCCCCCTTATGTATTATACATGGAGATCATATCCCCCCTTATGTATTATACATGGTGATCATATCCCCCCTTATGTATTATACATGGAGATCATATCCCCCCTTATGTATTATACATGGAGATCATATCCCCCCTTATGTATTATACATGGAGATCATATCCCCCCTTATGTATTATACATGGAGATCATATCCCCCTTATGTATTATACATGGTGATCATATCCCCCCTTATGTATTATACATGGAGATCATATCCCCCCTTATGTATTATACATGGTGATCATATCCCCCCCTTAATCTCCTCTTCTCAAGAGAGAATAAATGCAGTTCCTCTAATCTTTCCTCATAGCTGATCTCCTCCATGCCTCTTATCAGTTTGGTTGCCCTTCTCTATACTTTCTTCAGTTCCCCAATGTTCTTTTTGTGAATTGGTGCCCAAAACTGAACTGCATATTCCAGATGAGGTATTACTAATGATTTGTACTGGGGGGGGGAGGGGTAAAATTATATCTCTCTCTGGAGTCTATACCTCTTGTTGCATGACTGAGTAGCTGTTATTAAAATTGTGACAGCGCTAAAAGCTGAAAATTGGCGAGGGCAGGAATATGGCAAAAGTGTCCATTATTGAGATGGTTAAAGTGTTACTAAACCCCGGACCCTGCATTCACTATATCTGGTCTCCCCGGACCCTGCATTCACTATATCTGGTCTCCCCGGACCCTGCATTCTCTATATCTGGTCTCCCCGGACCCTGCATTCACTATATCTGGTCTCCCCGGACCCTGCATTCTCTATATCTGGTCTCCCCGGACCCTGCATTCACTATATCTGGTCTCTCTGGACCCTGCATTCACTACATCTGGTCTCCCCGGACCCTGCATTCTCTATATCTGGTCTCCCCGGACCCTGCATTCACTATATCTGGGTCTCCCAGGACCCTGCATTCACTATATCTGGTCTCCCCAGACCCTGCATTCACTATATCTGGTCTCCCAGGACCCTGCATTCACTATATCTGGTCTCCCCGGTCCTGCATTCACTATATCTGGTCTCCCCAGACCCTACATTCACTATATTTGGTCTCCCACAGTACACAGAACATGGAAATGGGATTATTTTAGTAAACATAAACTGCTAAATACCTTTTCTCATCAGCAGTATATAGCAGTCTTGTGACTTCTAGCAGTGTCTTGCCCAGCACTAGCTAAAGCTTGTAGGAGAAGTTTTCTTTCTGTTCTAGGAAGATGTAAATCCCCTGACCTCTGTCTAGCAATGCACACCAAACTGAGCATGTGCATGCCTACGGTTCAGTCTGGAGATAAGTGGTGGTCACTTGAAAAAGGGGAGGAACAGAGAAGAGAGGATCAATCAGCCTTTGTACACAATGCAGAGGATTAACTCCTTTGCTTCCACAGTGAGTATAACAAGCATGCTTTATTGCATATACAGACTGATGTTACTGTTGTGGGTTTAGTAACACTTTAAGGAGATATTGGGGAGTACTGGTTCTTACTTTGCAGCAGAGCCTCAAAGAAGTTGACTTTTCCCCATGTCTAGATCAGCTGTGGATATAAGTTTTTGTCATTTCCCTACTGACTTGCTCTGGGCTTCTGGATCAGCACTCCCATTAAAATATAAATGAAAAGGTTTACATTTGTGACTCACGCAAATCACTTCTATCTGAGTCCAAATTTTTATGGCGGTGCGGCTACATTCGATGATTCAAAAGAGAACCTGTCTCAGCTTTGCCTAATAATGATGTACATTATTGGACTGGTTAGCAAGATTAACCTTTGCTTTTTTCGGCATTCGGGAAAATCAGCGGCAGCAGAAAAACTCATTTGGAGGTGCGCTATTTGTAGAAATGAGAATTTAGATGGCGCAGTACATTAATAGGCTATTGCATTGTGCCGAAAGGTCATCTTCCTCTCTGTAATCACCTCATCACCTACGTAGTATCTTCGACTGCAGCAGAACGGCACTTCAGATAGGCGGCATTGGGCTTTATTTGAACTTATTGTAATGTCTGATTTATGCCATTAGATTACAGGCGTATTATTGTTTATACGGCAGAAGAGAATGTTGTGCTCACAAATTCGCTACATTGTATAAGGCATTAGTGGGTCTGCTGGATGCTTATTGTGATGAAACCAAAATTACAGCCACTCAGTTCAATTTATACCAGGTAAAAGGAACAGTTCACACAGGCAAGGCAATATACGGGAACAGTACCAAAAATTCCACCGCACAACCCTGGAGAAACCTAAAAAATTGTTTTGATGTTCTAGAACAGGGGTCTCCAAACTATGGCCCGGGGGCCAGCTTTGTCCATTTGCTCATCTTTATCTGGTTCTTGGGGCACCATTCCATCTACTGACTCTAACAGGGCATTATTCTTCCCACTGATCCAAACGATGGGCACTATTCCTCCAAATGACACCAACAATGGAGTAGTATTCCTCACACTGACACCAATGATGGGGCACTATCCCTCTCACTGACAATAGCAATGGAACAGTATTACTCCCACTGACACCAATGATGGGGCACTATTCTTCCCACTGACACCAACAATGGAACAGTATTCTTACCACTGACACTACTGATGGGGCACTTTTCCTCCCACTGACACCAACAATGGAGCAGTGTTCATCTCAATCACACCAATGATGGGGCACTATTCCTCCTACTGGACACCAACAATGGAGCAGTGTTCCTCCCACTGACACCAACGATGGGGCACTATTCCTCCCACTGACACCAACAATGGAACAGTATTCCTCCCACTGACACCAATGATGGGGCACTATTCCTCCCTCCCACACTAATGATGGGGCACTATTCCTCCCACTGACACCAACAATGGGGCACTATTCCTCCCACTGACATCAACAATGGAACAGTATTCCTCCCACTGACCCCAATGATAGGGCACTATTCCTCCCACTGACACCAATGATGGGGCATTATTCCTCCCACTGACCCCAACAATGGAGCAGTATTTCTCACACTGACACCAAATTTTTAAAAAAATTTTCACACATATCTTAAAATCTGCATTTTTGCTAAATTACTTTAAATGCTCATTCAAATATATAGCAGCTGCAATTTTTTATGTCGAATATTACTTAAGCAACTGTTTATCAAATGCATATTTTAAGGAAAAACACAGGACAATTAGTTCTAGTGCACACAAACACAATATAATATACAGTATAATAAAATAGAAACAGGGTTGTGTTAAATATATAGATACCAGTCGTGTCAGGCCTTAAAATTGTATGCCAAGGGGAAATAATGGAAAACTATGATTCCGAAAGCTTTCCATAGTCAACTCATTTTGCCAGTTATCAATTTAGAGTTAACTTTAAATGATGTCCCTCGAAGCATTGCTCTCACTCCAACATTTGCTGCAATACCTCACATGTGTGAAAATTAAAGGCCATCAACCCTGTGGGACTCAGGTAGAAAAAAAAATGACCTGATCAAGACTTTACCCTTCGCTACCCTACTCACAACTTAGAAAACATATACTTTGGCTTTGGATTACTTTTAATATTTTTATTATAAATTGGAAAAATATAGCCAGGGGACTATTTTTGTGCAAACTTGAATAAACCTTTCTTGGGCATATAGTTGTCCATATTTCGTACAACCAATTTTGTAAAAAGTGTAATGGTTCTCCTTTTTTGGGTATTGACAAGTTCACTCATTTTGTAATCTGTTTTTGTGCAGGATTAACGAGCATTTTGGCATATTTTGACTTAGTTCATTATATTTATGTTGGGACCAGGGGCGGACTGACAACTCATGGGGCCCCCGGGCAATAGGGGATCATGGGGCCCCTGTGTCCTTGCCCAAACTCAAAAAAGCCTTTGAAAAAGGTACCAGGGGCATCTCATGGGGCCCCTCACTGACCCCGGGCTCTCGGGCAGTGCCCGAGTTTCCAAATGGTCAGTCCGCCCCTGGTTGGGACCCTATCCTAAGCAGTAATCTCCCTATCCCAAATGATGATGTTGGGCTGTAGTCAGCCTAGCCCGGATTGATAGTCCTTTTCTCACAGTTCAGGTCATTGTTTGCTTCTGCCAGCTGTTGGGAATGTTCTTGGCAATAGTGTAAGTGGATTCCATGACTGTGTCTCCCTGGCCAGCAACTAGGAGGATAATTGTCTGGAGGAAAAGAAATTTAATCTCCAAACACGGAAAGGTTTCTTCACAGTGAGAGTTGTGAGAATGTGGAATAGACTCCCTCAAGAGTTGGTTCTGGCCAGCTCAGTGGATTTCTTTAAAAAAGGCGTGGATTCTTTCCTAGATACACAGAATATAACTGGATACTAATGCAGACCATACATGATTCGAATTCCGAATGATGTTTTGTCTGAAAATCGAAACATTGTTCGTTCTGTAATCCGATGGAGCCACCAATGATTTCGAAAATCTGTCATTTTTCACAAATTTTCCAGCATGCCCGATAAACGAAATGGGAAGGAACCACAAAAATCTGCCGATGCCATTGCCCCACTAACAGAGCGAAAATCGGCCGATTATTCCTAGGTCCGATTTTCGTACAAAAATTGTTCGGAATTTGAACCATGTATGGCCTGCATAACATTTATAAATAAAGTTGATCCAGGGAATATCCGATTGCCTCTCGGGGGATCAAGCACGAATGTTTTTCCCTGCAGGAGCAAATTAGTTCATGTTTTGCTGGGGGGTTTTTTGCCTTCCTCTGGATCAACTGTGGGTGTAGGATTATAACTTTTTTTTTAATGGCTGAATTGGATGGACTATTGTCTTTTTTCAGCCAGACTAACTATGTAAGTGTCATGGTGCATGTTGGGGAAGGTTATAAATATGTGAGGGGTTTTCTAGAAGCTCTCCTGTCTCCCAGATTTTGTCTGCGCCCGTGGAGCTCCCAGTGTCAGGGATAGTGAATGCAGGCATCTAACAGCAGGGATGTATGCTTTAACATTTATTTATAGTGAAACAAAATCCATCCGAACACCAGCAAACAGAATACACAGCAAGCACAAGGATAGAAGTGAACCATAAACCAATTGACACAAACCCTAACAAACTAACTTAATGACAGAAAAACTAACTAGCAAACTAACTATAATACAAAATATACAGACAAAACTGCAGCCTGGATCAACAGGGTAAACTGGAGGTGCAAGGAACAGTTAGGAAGGGGTAACCAGTTCTGGGATCAGGAACAAGGGGAGCAAATATGAGGCAGTGGGGTAGAGGGTACAGGATGCAGGGCAGCAGCAAGATCAGACTCAGGATAACTCAGCAAGCATGAATCTAGCTAACAAAACAATACACTGAAGCAACAGGGACTAGTAGATGAGGGACTAAATACCCTCCCAGCAGCCAGCATCAGGTGAAAATTGATTACTAGGATTTGCTGGCTGCTGGGAGCGACCTGCTGGTGGACAGCGGAACTACATCCTTCCTCTCTGGGAACCACAGTGCCACTAGCAGGTGATTCAGATCCTAACACCCAGGCCCATTACTTGGGTAAGACACATATGCTTTGAGAAGAAAGACCTGGAGAGCTTGCATTGCCTTGCTGGAGGGTACATCCAAGAGGAAGGATACTGAAGCTTATAAAGGAGCATCGATCCTGAATATGGCTGCCAGACTCATTCACCTTTCCAACCGCTCCGTTTCCGCAACCCCCCTTTGCCAATCCCTCCACTGGCTTCTGATTGCGCAACGGATCAAATTCAAAATCCTAACGCTGACGTACAAAGCTGTCCACCATACTGCCCCGAACTACATCACCGACCTAATATCCAAGTACCACCCAGCACGCACACTCCGCTCCTCACAAGACCTCCTTCTCTTTAGTTCCCTGGTCTCCTCCTCCCATGTCCGCCTCCAGGACTTCTCCAGGGTGTCACCCATCCTCTGGAACTCCCTGCCCCAACCCATCAGATTATCACCTACTCTCCTCTCCTTTAGGTGCACCCTGAAAACCCATCTCTTCGGGGAAGCCTACCCCACCCCCTGCTAACTTACCGACCTCCTCCACTCTTCCTACCACTCCATCCCCCACAGCTATCTCCTCCTGTGCCACCATCCCCTCCCTCCTAGATTGT